CACACATCTAACCAGTCAGATTCCAGGTCTGACTCCAGGAGTGAAGCCCATAAAGACTGTATAAGACCTCTGCAAGGCCCATAAAACATGTCCAAGGAGAGAGAACTGAAAGCAGTGAGATCCCACATTATCAAAGATCTATGTTTATTCTACAGTCTTAGACTGAAATCAGCAATTTTTTCTAGATTGCTTTGAAATTATCTCTATATATAGACAAACATACAGAGATCAAACTCTGATCTTTCTATTCTAAACCCAGAGCTGTTTCCATTATACCATGCTGCTTCTCCTAACATCAGCAGGAAGAGATGTAATCCCCATTATCATTTCCAATGCACTTCCTGTGTCCCCGAAGACCCCCCCTCAAAAAAGTAGCAGGGATCCAAATACTCTGAACAGCGAATAAATCTCTATAGACCACATACAAATAAATCTCTACAGAGGCAGTATAGGACAGTCATTAAGGGTAAAAATTTTAGAGTCAAACTGTCTGGATTCAAATTTCCAGCTCCCCAACTTACTACATATGTGACTTTTGGCAAGTTAACCTCTATGATCCATAGCTTCTTGATCTGTAAAATTGGGATATAGCAATAGCATATACCTCATAGACCTGTCGAAGAGATTAAATATGATAATGTATATTACCATATGAGCATAGTGCCTGGCACACAGTAAACACTCAAAAATGTTAAGTTATGATAACAATGCGAACAAATTCTTCCTATGGAGCAGTATACTTAATAGAGGAAAAACTGTTCCATGACCACAAAGGGCACTACTACTCTTAATGAGTTGCTGCTGGTTACAAGGGCGATAGTACATTTAAATTAAAGAAACCTGTTAAGTATATTTAAATTACAAAAACCTGTCCACTCTACTACACACGCACGCACGCACACACGCACCCCCCACCCCACCCCCTTACTAGTACTTCTATAGTAGAGGTAGTATAATTTTACACACGATATCCATAAATCTAAGTGCATATCCTACTGACAGTGAGTTAGTGCGAGTATAATTACCTTTACATAAAAATATTTATTTCCATCACTAGAAATGACCTTTCCAGTAGAAAGCTGTCTTTTTCTCTTACTGCTAACCTTTTGGCATAAGGGTTACTTTATATTTCAACTAATAAACACTTTACCTAAAAAAAACTTCCACATATTTGTGATATCCCAACTTGGCATGACTTCAGAGATAAAGAAATCCCTTAACTATGAAAAATTAAAGCAATTTAAATAGCAATGCTCTTCCTGATATATAAGTCCCAATACCAGACTACTCCAGCCAACATCCAGCCCCACCTCCACCCAGTTTACTCTGGAGAAGGTCACCAATACCCCCAGCACTAGTATGGAGAGCAGATACCATTCATATCTTTGACATGATTAAAACATTTATCTAACTAGGATATTAAAATGTGAAGCAGAGAAAACAAACCTCTGGTTTTACTAGAGGCACAATACCCTAATGATAGGGAAATAGGATATAAAATGTTCTTTAAAAATTATATGGGAGGAAAAAGGAAAAAAACTGCATAGTGTCTTCTATAATTTCTTCATGAACACTCACCCGTTAGTGTCCAAGAACACAAGCTTGCTCCTAAGTTTTATCAATCATAAAAATAAATCTCATTTTTAGTATAAATTGCTGTATAATATTGCTATACATACTCGTATAACAGGCATCTGGTGCACATTTATTAATAGCAATGTCAAAAGAAAAAAATTGGAACTATTTAATCAAATATGCACAAAATCATTGCCCCTAGGCCAAATGCCATAAGTTGTAGGCACCAAGATATTTTTTAAAGTAACTCTTTTAAAACAACAATTGCAGTTTTATCCAAGGGTCTGTAGCACAATTGAGTGACTAAAACTTACCCCTTTAAGATGCTCTGCATCAAAAAAGCAATTTTAAGTCAACCATCTACTTTGATGAAGGAAAAATCATGGCAACTGTAATTAAAAATCCCTGATATGCATGAATTTTCTGATTTGGTATCATAATTATGTCTTGCTTACAGTAATATGAAAGTTGGTTTTCTAACCTTAAGTACACACTTTCTGGAGGACAGGAAGGCAATGTAATCTGAGGCATGCTGAGTGTTTAGAGAAGCTAGACAGCTAACTTAAAAGTGAACCCGGTTAAGCTACAGCATACATCTGCATATAAAGAATTGATAATCACTCAACCACGTGGAGGCCTAAGCCATGATCTCATATTAATATGTTTTTAAAAGCACCCATTATGATCACTCAAATAAAACTTCTAAATAATCTGTCACATACTTACTTCTTTAAAGGTTAAATGAAATTAAAGATAATGGGCTTCAGGCTGGAGGATATTTTCTCTGACAAAGCCATTCCTTCCTTTAAATCTCCCTCTCATCTCCAGAAGGATAGTGGATGGTACTACCCCGATATCCTTCTAGGAGATATATTGGGGTTTTAATTCTACATTCCTAAAACTGAGTGGAACTTTTGCTCTGTCATGTCACATATGAGACGTGAAGCCTGAGGCCATCCGTCTTTACCTCATAGTTCTTGCTGTGTTACCGGAGTATTTGCAATAAGGATGTCAAAAGGGAAACAGTCTCTACAGAGGCTTTGCTGACCACAGGTGAGGGTAGGTTCATGTTGCTTAAGCAAAGGGCAAAAGGGAAGAACTTTATGGGCGGGCTTACCATTCTGATTTAAGCTGGATTTTAGAAAAGTCAAAATATTAAACTATAGACCAAGTTTAAAGAGTGCGTGGGTTGGGTACAACTAGTGAAAAGGTTAGCCAGCAGGCAGGGAAAAACCTGAGGGCGGAGGGCGGAGAGGAAAAGTTTTAAATTACCCACCAGAGCCTGGTGATCTATTAGCATGCGTCCCCCACCCCAGGCTCTGCTCTTGCCCCCAGAGCAGCTAGCTGCAGGAAAGCAAGCAGCCCTATTTTTAAACACTTAAACCTCTCCCTTGGACTTCAGAAGGCTTGAGTTACCAGCGTTTACTGTAAATAATGTGTCTTCCTAAACAAGTGAAGTTAAATATGAATTCCCTAGCTAAGGCCTAGGGGGAAGTTAGGTAAAGGGCGAAAGTGATTTCGGCGTGAGAGTGAGGTGATGGGGGTCGGGATGGGGGTGGGGAGGTAGAAGGAAGGACTTACCGCAGCCTCTGCAGGCTGCCCCCAAAGCCTCAGGGCCAGTAAGAACAAGCCGGCAGCCAGGCTGATTCCACGCAGTTTCATTCTTCTCCGGCTCCCGCAGCTCCTTCAGCACCCGCACGAAATCCCTGGCTGGCTCTGACCAACTGACATAATCTTGAGGGTTTATTGGGAGAGAGCTAGAGCTGGAGAAGGACAGCCAGGGTGTCCCAATTGTGCCGGTGAGCTTAGGTGAGGAGAAAGAAGCTTTTTAAGAGTGTTGTAAAAAAAAGCAGCAGTCTCAACAGCTATTCTTCCCTTCCCCCTCCCCTCCCCAAGAAGGCTGGTCTCTCGGGAGCAGTTTTCCCTTCTGTCCAGACTTGCAAACTTTTTCCTTACACAGGTCCCACAGATCTACTTTCCTCCCTCTCTCCGCCTGCACCGCCCCCCTCCCCACCGGCCCTGGGGAATTTGAGGATCACTCCGCCGCAGCCTTAGGCTGCACCGGCAACCTGCGAGGGAGTGACGCTCAGTTATTTGGAGGAGGGAAACTTCCAAGACCAGATGACTGAACACCGGGAGTCCAACCAAGAAGCTTTTCTATTCGTTCACTTGCACCTTTCGTTGATAGTACTTATTCCTGCCCAGTCCCACTCTCATTGGTGAGAGCACCAAGCCAATTACAAATAGACCTGAGCTGGGACTATTTTTTTTTTTTGGCGGATGGATCTCAGGGAACAGTACTTTTTATTGTTAATGATTAGAAACAAATTTTAGTCGCTGCTCCCTAGGTTGCTAGTGTATTTTACCTTCCGCAGGACAGAGTTTCTACATACAACAGAATATGCGAAAATATTACAACTATATAAATATATTTATATGATTAAACATATGCTTATAACTGAAGATTTCAGATAATGAAATCTCTGTAAAGACCATGCATGCTATATATATGTAAAATTTGGCAGCATTCACAGACAGTAGTTATTATATGTTTGCATGTTATTGTGATACAACCATGTCTTTTTATGTAGCTGCACTGCTAAATGCCTTAATTTTTACTACTAACATAAAAGGTAATGACTGCTGCAGCAGTTGTGTTTCGGAGGGATTTAGGACAGGGAATTAAATAACGTTCATGCAATTTTCCTTAAAACTAACAAACACCTAACTGGAAATATTTATATAGAGTTAACTTAACGGCAGAGGGTTTAAGTTTTTCCCAAATAAAGCAGACTTGAACATTACTTTGGTAATTCTTATATACAGACTTTATTAAAGTACCAACAAGCCCGGAAAATACTTTGTGTGACTCCATGGAAGGCCTTTCAGAGATGTGCTGAAGAATTCTTCAGAACATTTCCGTTACCTCAGACCCTAAATTTTGCCACTTGAAAATCTTTCCTGCCTTTGGACCTATTCAGGGCTTTGGACCTGTTCATGAGGGCCCACTCATCCTTAATTTCTACTCCGTTTAGGGTAGACTTGACAACCCCAGAAGTCACCACCACTACCACCACCACCACCCTCAAAGCTTAGGTATAAAACCAGGATGAGTGTTGTATGCATTTGGGCAAGTTTGCAGGGACACTTTGGGGCCCATTTGTCTGTGAAGAAATCGTATGCCTTAATCTATTTATTTGTAACAGTTAACAGGGTTTCTGGAAGTGTGTGATGCATAGTTGGCTTAGATCTTAGTATATACACCTCTATGGGCCCATGCGTGAAGCTGTGGAGATGCGTGAGAATGCTCTGTTAAGAGGTGCCTGAAAGTGAGAAAGACAGCTGGCTGCCCAAGGTAAGGGGGGTGGGGGTGATTGACAGCAGACAGCCCCGCCCCCTTCCCCTCCATTCCTTCCTCTCCTGGTGCATGGAACTATCTTTTGAGTACGGCAAGTTGTAGCGGGCACCGCTGACTGTGTTTTCCTTTGGGGCACTTCTTACATGGAAGCTAAGTTTAGTTTCTTCTGAAGTGAACCGCTTCGCCTCCCTATCTCGTCCTCCTGAATAAGAAAGCAGCCGCCAAGCATCAGCGGAGCCCCGATGAGCCGGGACTGCGGAGCGGCTTAGCAGTCTCCCGGGACCCAGCTCCAGAGGAGCCGCAAGCATGCACCCTGGGTGAGATGTTGCTGCTCAGAGATCCCCTCCTTTCCTAGTTTGGGCTACTTTGCCGAACCGGGACTATATCTGTACTTCTGTCATTGCAGAAAAGTGGGGGCAGACAGCAAAAACGGGTTGGGGTCTATGGACAGACGCAGGACCCTGGAGCCTTAGATAGCCCATGTTACTCACCCTCCCTCCCATTTCAGATTGTGGCTGCTCCTGATTACGTTGTGCCTGACCGAGGAACTGGCAGGAGCGGTGAGTTTCTTCTCGCGACCTCTTTGCGTCCTCCTCCTTTGACTTCCTCCGCATCCCACCTCTTGCGTTTGTATTTAGGGGCATAAAGGATTGCGCTACGAAACCGAGTTCACATCACTCCCATTTCCAGTGGGAGTGAATAGGATTCTTAGATATAGAACAGTGACAGGTTAATTGCCCCTGGGACTCAGGAATCTTTCTCTCACAAAATCTTGGTAATGGGTTGGGGAAAAAAATTAGAAAACACAAGAAGCACGTATTTCTGAGCCTCTTCCCAGACAACTTAAGAGGACCGGCAACTGATGCCTTTCTCTGCATCGATCTCCAAGGCAGAAAAAATATATTTTCCCCTGGTCTACAAGAACATGCGTTGGCGCACAAGTTTGTGAGTGGAAGAAGAGAACAAGGAGTGGGACTTGAAAGTGCGGCAAATGTTATGGAAGTTAAACTTAAGTATTTGCTTGTGATTTCTTTGACAGTACCAGGTGACATCTGAATTCTTTAACTACCTGAACTGAACTGATACCACTAGATGATGTTCAGTTCTGACATTTTCCTTTTACTGGTTTTCTGTGTCATCAGAAAGTTAAAAGTTAAAGTGGTTGGTATAGAAAAAAAATTCTGTAAGTTAACATTTCATAGGCTGTTCAGATATCATCCATAAAATCAGGTAGGGACTGCAGGCAAAGGAATTTCTGTAGACATCTGGCCCAGAAAAATTCAGTGTATCTCCAAAAGTAGGGAGAGACCTCCAATGGAATTACTGGGATATTTTACCAAAGGTGGAGGGACCCAAATAATCAAAGATGCTGCAGTTTTCTAGTCTCACTAGCTACTTGTGCTGGTAGAAATAAAGTTAACTCCTGAGTTCAAATATCAAGTTGTTCAACTATTGCAAACTATTTCACTGCCCCATTTTTTAAAAAACTCAATAATAGCCAAAGTCTTATAGATGACAGATGAATATATAATCTAAATATTTACCATGTGGGTTTTGACCATTTTAACCAATTGGATCTATTTTTAATACTTTAAATATTTTTAGATACTGTTTATAGAGCTATACTTAACTCAATGACATCACCTAATAACTTTATGGGGGGGGAAATGGATTACTTTGTCCTGGCATATGTCTTTAAGAAAATATCAGAATAAAGTGAAATAATGTCCCTTACGAAAAGAGGATGGCACCAGAAAACTTGACTTTTAACATCTTGTGACCCCTTAACTAAGAACATCAGCTCTTATGTAGGTAAATTCTAGACTTTGTAAACAAAAATATTGATCTAGGGTTCTGTGCACATCTCCATCTGATTCCTTCAGTTCAGAAGTTTAGTTATGTGTTACCTTGAGGCTCAATACTACACTTACTGAAAATGGGAGGTTTGGATTAGTTAACAATTTGTCTGGGAACCTTGCCACTTGTAAAAACGTCATGCTTGGGCAGAATACTCTGAGGCAAAATCTTCATTTTCAGATTCTGTCTGAGGTTATTCAGTGTACTTTGGGGAGAAGCATTAACAAATTATTCTAAATAGCTAGAGACTTCCCAAACACTGTATCCTATCACGTGACATCCTTGAAAGTCACTAGAAGATGATACTTTCAATTCCAGAATCAAGCCCTGCTTTGGTGTATAAGTTTTAGACTCTGTTTTTTTGCCTTACCAGTTAGTTTATTGGTCACCTGCTATTATCAGTGTGATTGGCCTTGGCAAGAACAAAATAACCCTTGAGACACACTGACAATACTTATATTTTTTGCTTTATTAAAGTCCAGAGCTGATCCCTTCACCTGTTGTTTACTTGACCTTGAAAAGCTATTTTTTTAATTTTTAGAAAAATGGCAAAGAGAAGGAGGAGAGTCGCAAGATAAGTTTCCCAGAAGGTGACTTTTCCAAGGGGAAGGGGTTTTTTTTGTACTCTCTATACTGGATTCTCATCTATATTGGCTGGGTCTCATTTTCTACTCCCAATTCTACCTTATCCTCTGGGTTTGTAATGTTTTTTTACCTTTCAGATAAGTTTTAGACATTTGAGATATGGGCACCTTGTTTGACTAGTATTAATGACAATTTGTAAATAGATTGACAGGAACTATGTTGTGCTTCCTATGAGAAATTCTCTTCACTGTGACAGTTCAGTTGCCAATAATGGAATATTGGTGAGCATTTAAGATAGGGTCATTTAGGTGCTTTCGAATTCTTCCTTTGTCAGAATTTATAAAGCAGTGCTATTTAAAGCAATGGAAAGGGAAATGTTAAAACCCAGGATTAAAAAAATAAGTTTCCATTAAATTTCTTTTAAGAGAGTGATGATTTTTAATCAGGTGAAACATTTACACAATTATTCTGAATGAGATAGAGCCTAGGCCTACAGAATAATCTGTAATCATTTTGGTCATTAAGTGCTTAAGGCACAGTGTACACAGATTTATTTAAACATAATCTCTAAGTCTCTAGGCGTTTAGTTTCTCAGACAGTAATGGTCACTATGTCCCTTAAAAGATATGGTACTTAATGATAAATTATTATGTGCATGTACCTGCATCGCATTAGAGAGAAGACTAGAAAGATCCATATCTCACCACAGGCCAAGATGTCTGGGAGCTAAAAATATGCCCAAAGTAGTCAGGATCCTTATGTATTCTTCCCACTTTACTCCAAATCTGCTTTCATGAAAGGCTCTAATACAGACAAGCACGTTTAAAAGTCAAAGCCTAGTGGGAGAGTTATTTGGTTAGGGAAGAGGGGAGAAGAGAGAAAACTTACGTCTATTGTCTCTTTTGCAAGAAACATAGGTAAAATGCCTTTAGTCACATTCAAATCAAGTTCTGATTGAAATACAAACTTCTTAAAGTTGTAATTTACTCAGGTTGGTCCTTTCCACTGTGGTTTTCAGCTGTAATTGCAGTCATCAAAGTATGAATAGAGTGTTAAGGTTTTTCAAAGACAGAGAAAAATTCTCTCCTATTCTAATGATCAAAAGAAATATATGCCTTTTTGGGGGCTGTGTCTCAAGGAATTATTTTTCTTTCTTTCTTAAAACAACTTCATTGAGATATACTTTGTATACCATAAATTCATCCATTTTATGTGTACAATACAGTGGTTTTTAGTAAATTTACCAAGCTGTGCAACTTATTAACATATCTAGTTTTAGGACATTTTCATCACCCCAGTAAGATCTTCCATATCCACTCACAGTTAATCCCCATTCCCATCATCAACCCCAGGCAACATGAATCTACTTTCCTATCTCTATAGATTTGTCTTTTCTGGACATTTCATATAAATAGAATCATGTAATACGTAATCTTTTGTGTTTGGCACCTTTCACTTAGCATAATGTTTTGTAAGTTCATGTTGTAATATGTATCAGTATTTTGCTTTTTTTTAGTATTGTTATTGTTATTTAGTATTGGTATCCCATTATGGATATACACCATTTTGTTTATGCATCACCAGCTAATTTGGGATCTTTCCACTTTTTGGCTGAGTAATCCTACTATGAACATCAACATACATACATTTTATTTCTCTTAGTAGATATGCAGGAATGGAATTGCTGGGTCATATGAAAAATTTATATTAACCTTTTAAGAAACTGAAAAACTGTTTTCTAAAGTGGCTGTACGACTTCACATCCTACCAGCAATGTGTGAAAATTCCTGATTCTCTACATCCCTGTTAACACTTGTTATTGTCTGTTTTTTTTATTATAGCTGTCTACCATAGCCTGGTGGATGTGAAGTGGTATCTCATTTTTCATTTTAATTTGCATTTCCCTAATGACTAATCAGGTTAAGCATCTTTTCAAGTGCTTATTAGTTATTTGCATATCCTCTTTGAAGATATTTCTATTTAAAGCTTTTGCCATTTTAAAGTTAGGTTGTCTTCTTAATTTAGTTGTAAAGAGTTCTTTATATACTTTCGATACAAGTCCTTTGCCATATACAGTTGACCTTTGAACAACATGGGTTTGAACTCTGTCCTCTTATACATGGATTTTTTTTCAATAGTATTTTGTAAAATCTTTGGGGATTTGTGATGATTTAAAAAATATTTTCTTTTCTCTAGCTTACATTATTGTAAGAATGCAGTATGTAATACATATAATATACAAAATATGTGTCAATCAACTGTTTATGTTATTGACAAGGCTTCCAGTTAACAGTAGGCTATTAGTTGTGAAGTTCTTGGGGGAGTCAAAAGTTGTAGGTGGATTTTCAACTGCATAGCTTGGGGGGCAAGGTCAGTGCCCATAACCCCCATGTTGTTCAAGGGTCAACTGTATACACTTTGCAAATATATTCTCCCAGTCTGTGGCTTGTCTTTCCATTTTCTTAATATGAATTCTAAAAGTAGCTGTCTGCTTTGTATGCTAGCAAATATCCTGTTTCAGCTAGCTATAAATAATTACAGTATGTAACATGTATGTGTGTACATGGGAAGATATTCTCTGCTCATGGATTAGAATAACTAATATTGTTAAAGTGTCCATACTACCCAAGAAATATACCAAGTCAGTGCAATCCCTATCAAAGTTCCAGTGATATTTTTCACAGAAAAAGAACAAACAATCCTAAAATGTGTATGGAACCACAGAAGACAACAGTCAAAGCATCCTTGATAAAGAAGAACAAAGCTGGAGGCATCATTTTCCATGATTTCAAACTATATTACAGAGCTCTAATCATTAAAACAGGATGGTATCAGCATAAAAACAGACACACAGATCAATGGAACAGAATAGGGAGTCCTGAAATAAACCCATGCATATATGGTCAATTAATTTACAAAATATACAGAATATACAATGGGGAAAGGACAGTCTCTTCAATAAATGGTGTCGGGAAAATTGGATAGCCACATGCAAAAAGAATGAAACTACCACCTTACACCATACACAAAAATTAACTCAAAATGGATCAAAGACTTGAACTTAAGACCTGAAACCATAAAACTTCTAGTGGAAAATATAGGCAGTAAGCTCCTTGAT